AAAAGTATAACCAAAATGCAATTATCACACTTAAATTTTTAATAAATTAATTTTACCAAAAAACTACTCCAGGTCTCAAATTTTGGCAACTTATATTTTCCTGAAAAACCATCCATTCCCAATACTTTTCCCATATAGCAAGCTGCATAACATATTCTCTTATGGTTTTTCTAGTATCCTGTATCTGGCTTACTTTTCTCAAACTTTTTTTATTTTTGCTTTTTCTTGTGTGTACTCGTACGGGCTAACCTTGATTTATCTCTTTCATTGACTGTTTTTCAAAGACAAAGAGAGTAACAGGAAAATTGTTACCTGTAATCATCTCATAACTACTTGCTCTCTTCTTTAGGTAGCTACAATACGGGGGAATAACTTCCTGTAGAAATATCACATCTGGGCTGTACCTTCAAAACATCAATTTATAATAAATACCAAGTATACTATTTCATTTGCTGACACCTAGATTAGCAGAACACCACAACATAAACACAAAGCTACTGCCCCTTAGGGCACCTTAACACTCAATGTTTATACTGATACTTGGTAACTATAAAATGCGAAAGATCTGTGCTATTTAACAAATACCGTACAAACAAATTAAGTTAGAAAAACATACGTCCTAACACTTTAAAGTGAGAAGAACTGGAATCCCTGAGAACAGGAATCAGTGTATGGAGAGGCTACGAGGGTCCTATACTACAGTAGATGCCTTCCAAGTTACGAATCCTCATGAAACAATTATCCATAAGGACACCGAGCTGCAGAGAACACCGGTGGTTCACAGGGGACTACAGAAGGTCATACAGCTAGTGTGTAGCAGATACAGACCATTTTGGTAATTTAATTTTCAGAGCAGTAATTATATACAAAGTTTATTAAGTAAAACAGTATTAGAAGCCTTCTAACAAAAGTTAGTGCTCCCTCCCCACCTCGTCCATACTCTTGCTCTCAGAGGCAATCACTCTCCATTCTTTACGTTTCTTCTGGAACTCAGATCAGATTCCAAAACCCATAATCTTGACCATTAACCTATTTATAGATAGGTAAGCCACGTAATCATGCCACCATTGAACCTAAGCAATAATACTTACAAAGTTAAATAGGAACACACCCCTCGAGCCCTCTCTTGCAGACTGTTTAGATCCAATCCATCAATATTCCAGGTAATGAAAGAGAACACGCTGCCGTCTTCTTGCTGAATCCCTTCAGATGTACTGGCTTTAGAACTAACGGAATCAGTTGTCTCTTCATTTGTTAGGTCAACACTGGCAGGATCACAATGAAACACAACTCTGCAAATTATCTCTGAACTGATTAATTTTAAATTATTATTTTCTATTAGTAGCCCTCATCTTGTGTAGAAAGAAATTCTGTAAACTATGACCTGAAATTAGACTACATAGTGTAAGATTTCCAAATCTGGATTCACTTTAAATCCTATGTGAAATGTATGAAACATGTGAAATAAGATCTCATTGTGAGTAACAGCTGCGAATTCTTTACCAGTCCCCTCACTGGAAGGTGAGATCTAACGCCTCTCCCCCCGGACTCTGGGCTTTACTGATTCACTTGACTAACAGAATACGGTGGAAAGGTAATCCTGGCACTTCTGAGGCTTGGTCATATGAAACTTAGCAGCTTTCCCTCAAGCGTTTTTGACCACTCTCTCCCGAGAGATCACGGAAGTCTGACTGCCTGACACTACCATGCTGGAGAGGCCACACGCACAAGCCTCAGTCCAAGGTCCTGACGCCACCTCGCACTATCCCCACCAAGGCAGGTATTTGAGGGGAGGGACAAACCATCATTAAAAGGTGACTGACAAGCAGTTATACACAATACATAAATTTAAGAAATAGGTTTTTATACTTATAACGTTAATAAATTTAATGTAAATAATTTAACTTTTTAATTAAAAAGCTTATTGAGATATATCTGACATATAACATTATATTCATTCCAGGTGCACAACATAATGATTTCGTATTTGTATACGTTGTAAAGTGACCACCATGATCAATCTGGTTAACTTATTATTTTAACTTCTTATTTGGAAATAATAACAGGCTTTCAGTAAAACAGTATTAAGAATTCTCTTCACCATTCACCCACATAAATGTTAACATCTCACTTCCTTAACGTTTACCTGCTTTGCTCTTTTTATTCTGAGATGTTTGCAGAAATACCTTTGTATGTACCTCCTAGAAACAAGGACAGGCTTACATGTATACCTAGCATTATTGCGCATTAGAAAGTTATCACTTATACAACATTATCATATAATTTTAAGACTTATTCAAATTTTGCCAATTGTGCCACTAACGTTCCAGTTTATAGTTCTGAGCTAGGGAACTCCTCCCTTTAACCATTACTCAGCTGGATTCACATTTTTTCTGTGGGTCTATTTCAAGGAATCGACTTCCTCTGTCTCAATGTCTTCTATTTCTTTCTTTTTTAAGATTTTATTTTTAAACAGGCTCTATACCCAACATGGGGCTTAACTTACAACCCCAAGATCAAAGGTCACATGCTCTACCATCAAAAGTTGCATGCTCTACCAACTGAGCTAGCCAGGCACTCCCAGCACATACTTTTTTTTTTTTTAAGTAGGCCCCACGCCCAAAATAGGGAGGGCTTAAACTCACCACCCTGAGATCAAGAGCCTCTGTTCCAATTTCTTTACTGGTTACAATTTAGGTTGCAAGTGATGGAAATTAACTCAGGCTCCTATGAGCAAAATAGAAGCATTTAGAAGGCAACAGAAACATGTCACAGAGCCAGGTATGGGAATGCGGCTATTCCGGAGGAAATGCAATTGAGGCTTTCTCTTGATCGGACTCCACTGACTCAACTTCCCTGGGCTTCATTCTCCTTCTGCAGAGCACCATTCTCAGCTTCCCCACAAATACTAGGTTCACGTTACTGTTCCAGCTCCACAGGAAGATTCAGACTGAACTCACTTCCTCCCGATCTGGAAATCCCAGGAGAGAGGATCTGACAGGCCAGCTTGAGCAAGGCGAATACCTCAACAGGTGAGGCAGAGCTCTGTCACCGTGGATGAAGGGACAACTCCCCCAATAACAGGCTAGTCAGGGAAAGGAGCCTAAAGAAATGATCTTATTACATCTGTAAGGTGGTGCAGCTGAAGAGATCAAAGGGACAAGTGTCTTCACTATGAAGTTAACTCTGCAGGCTGCCCATATATCCGGGAGAACTTTATATACATTTATTAAGAGCTTATTACACGCCAAATATCGTTCTAGACTTTGGGGACTTAACAATGTACAAAACACATACTAACTTTCCCAAATGGTAGTTTAGTGGGAGACAGAAAACATTAAACAGCAATTACAATATAAACTTAGTTACTGTGAGCCGCTCATGCAGGATGCTGCAAGATTACCCACAAGGGAAAACCTACCCAGACTTGAGAGATCAGGGAAAGCTTCTTGGAGATAAGTCATGACTAAGCTGGGCCTTAAGGTAAATACTACTTAACATGGAAAGAGTCGAAAAAAAGGTTCTAGGCAAAGGTAATAAATGTGGGAAACAAAGGCGAAAGAAAAATTAAATTCCCTTACTACCTACAGTCCACTGACAAGTTCCTGAAACAAACAGAGTGCCCTTCCCCTGGGGACTCAGCTGCCTTAATGTTAATACTTTGCTAAGGGCAAAAGTCAGTCTTAGCCCAGCTACCCAGGATCCTGTGAGTCTACTTCAACACCTAAAAACGCCCTTGGAAACTTCCTCCATCTCTACCTACCACTCTCTCCCAAGGTACATGTTGGCAATCATCCCCCAAGCCTGTGACCCACCGATATCCATCTGAAGGGTCTCATGACGGAGTTTTTACTGAACAGTAATGAGTGACCTTTTCCTAACAACAGCGAGCCCCCTCAAGGCCCTGGAAACCCTGCTTCCAAAGTACCTTAGAGACTCTAACCCCCTCCCAACTTGAAAGCCTGTAATGGACCACCCCTCCCAGTACAGCTCTTACAGCCCAGGGGTCCTGTCCCCGTGCTTTAATAAAACCACCTTATTTGCACCAAAGAGGTCTCAAGAATTCTTTCTGGGGCGCCTGTGTGGCTCAGTTACGGGGCTGCCTTCGGTTCAGGTCATGATCTCACGGTCCTGGGATCCGTCCCCGCACCTAACTCTCTGCTTAGCAGAGTCGGCTTCTCCCTTTGCCCTCCCACCGCTCAGGCGGGCGCGCTCTCGCTGTCTCTGAGATAAATCAAATCTTTAAAAAAAAAAATCTTTCCCAGCCGTGGGCTCCAAACCCCAAACCTTTCCTACACCATTAAGTATCTTCACGAGGGACGCAAGGCAAGAGAGAACGCCCACTGGAGAAAGCGAAAGGTGGATGCCCGGTAACAACTTGTGGGGCAGGAAAGAGGGTGGGAGAAGACGAACCGGGAAAGATGGGCAGCGGTCGAACCGCGGGGAGGTGGACGCATCCCGACTTCGGAGCAGCGCGGAAGCTCCCGCTCCCGCCGCTCCCAGGAAGCTGGGAGACTTCCAAGCTCCCGCTCGGGAGCACAGAACTCTGCCTCCCCCACCCACTCCGAAGTGCTCAGGTACCGACCCCGACCAGCTCGAGGAGGGGCCCCGCCCCGCCCGCAGCCCACGTGGGGAAAGCCCCCAGCGCCCCGCCTCCGCCCGGCCGCGCGCCCCCTCACCAGCACTCGGGCCCCGCCGCCGTGCCAGGGGGGCTCTCCGCGGCGATCTCCTCCGCGGGCGGCTCGAAGAAGGAGTTCAGCGCTCTCTGGAAAACACACACAGCGGTGAGACCTAGGCGCGCCCCGGCCCGAGGCGAAGAGGAGGAAGAGAGAGCAACGAAGCTTACTTCCATCTCCCAGTCGTTCTCCGCCAGGTAGCACTGAGCCACGGCGGGGTCGCACTTCGCGACCGAGGCAAACTCCACGCACAGAAGCCGCCGCTTCTTCACCTCGGGCTCGCCCTCTGCCCGCTCCGCCTCCCCCTCTGCCCGCTCCGCCTCCGAGCCGCTCTGCCGCTCCATGGGCTCGCTCGGGGCCCCCGCGCCCCCCCACAGCGACGGAGAGCTGACGCCCGGATCTGCGCAGGCGCCCGCCGGCCCGGCGCACCCACCTCAACCACCCGGGCGGAAACGCACTCCTCCCTCGAAGTGCGATAGGCGGGATTGCGCCGCGGGCGTGCAGGCCGGGGCAGGGCCGGGTGCCACGGCGCGTGCGCGGCCACAACGCAGGTGGGGGCGGAACGTGAGCGCGCGAGCGGGTGGGCGGCTGGCAGTGAGTACGAGAGGCCCCAGACGCCGACCTCCCAGCGGGCGGAGAGGACGTGGCTGTCTTTACCTTGCCTGTCCTTACCCCTTCGCTGACTCCGGGGTCCCCCCCGGCTCAACGCAAGCTTCCTTCTTGCGTTGTGTCCCGAAGCCGGAGCGGTCCACGATGAGCCGCTTGAACCAGAACGTGCTGGAGGTGATGAAGTCGATGGCCCGTGTCCCCGGTTTTGACAGAGTTTTGGAAAAGGTACTGCGTGGGAGCGCGGGCTTCTAGAGAAAGCGCGATGCTTGGGGTATCTCTCGCTAGATCCCGCTGGACTGCCCGGGAACGTCACTTGATAGCGGCGATGACTGCTGTCCTGGAGCGCCCTCTGTGTGAGGTCAGGCGCTTGGTTTATTTCACGGCAATGTGTGCTACGAAGTTCAGATCTGCCTCGATTTAGGATTGGGTTCCTTCCAGATTAAACCCCTGCCGGGTGGAAACACGATAGATGGAAAGTGCGTGCGATACACCTAGCCTCGTCGCTTAGCCTCGCCTGTCCGATGGGCTCAGATCACTTCTTAGCCTGCAGTTGGGCAAAATCATCGAACGCAAAGCCAATTCTGTAGAAGGTGTTGAATATCTCTTTAGTTTATTGAATACTGTACTGAAAGGGGAAAACGGAATGGTTGTTTAGGTATAGAATAATTTCCTTCCTTCCTAGAGAACGCCAGCGAGGAGGGGGAGGGGGAGAGGGAGAGAGAGAGAATCTTACGCAGGCTCCAGGCCGGGCACAGAGCCCAGGCAGGGCTCGATCTCACATGAGATCTGTGGTCATGACCTGAGTAGAAATCAGGAGTCCCGGGCTTAACCTACGGAGGCACGCAGGCACCCCTAGCTACGGTATAATTTTAAGCAGAGTTGCTAGCCCTCCAGCTGTCGGGGCTGACTGGGAGCTGCCGCTCACTGCCACTGCCCCGCATCTGGCGAGCAAGTACTGCATGTGACTAGCTTGGGTTAAGATGGAAATTCAAAATTCGAAGTTTCTACTGAATATGTAACGCTGTCACACCATTATAAAGTTGAGAAATCTTAAGTCAAACCGTCGTCAGTCGGGGAATGTTTAAGTGATTCTCACTTGTGGAGACAATTTCTTGATTTCAGAGCAGGAAAGGACTTTAAAGCTTGGCCTTCAACATACAGATGCCAGGAGTGCTCTGAGGAAACGAGTAAGGACAATGTCTGCACTTAAGATGCACTTGCAGCCTAGAGGATTAGAAATAAATAATTGCAGTAAGGTGGGAAAACCAGATTCCGGGTTGAGGGATGCTTTGGAGTCAGGCAGGGATAGCCTCTGTCTCCTTGGCACATGAACAGACTAGCCCAGATTCCTAGTTTTCGGTGTCTTTGTAGAAATCGTCTTACCTAGGAATCATTTATAAATAAACATGAATAACAGAAGCCCTTGGTTATGTCAGATTTGGAAGACATTTGACAGCCAAAGAACTTCTAGGCTTTTTCCTAAATATTTTAAGTATGCATGCCTGTTTTCCTTTTAGAGAGGCAGGTGGGTCAGGGAGAGACTGAAGGAGAGAGAGAGAATCTTAATTTAGCAGGCTCCATGTCCAGTGCAGAGCCGGATGTGGGATTTGACCTAACAGCCCCGGGATCATGACCTGACTTGAAATCAAGAGTCAGATGCTTAACCGACGGAGCCACCCAGGCACTCTTGCCTGTTTTCCTTCTGATTAGGAAAGAGGATTGGGAACTTTGCAAATACATAATTTAAAAGTGGAGTTTAAACAGACCAACTGCTGTCACTTGTAGGAAGAATGTAGGCCGTTAGACCAAAGTCTTCCTCCTGGAAACAACATTTGGGCTACATTTTCAGTATTTCAATCATTATAGCCAAGGGCTTTTGTGAAAAACATAGGAAATCATACTCAAATGTATTCAGTGTTTTCAAATAGCAAACACTATAAAATCCAAGGATATGCTACTTTTTAACAGTAACTTTTTTTTTTTTTTTAAAGATTTTATTTATTTGTTAGGGAGAGAGAGAGAGCATGTGGGAGCACAGGCAGACAGAGTGTCAGGCAGAGGCAGAGGGAGAGGGAGAAGCAGGCTCCCTGCCGAGCAAGGAGCCCGATGTGGGACTTGATCCCAGGACTCTGGGATCATGACCTGAGCCGAAGGCAGCTGCTTAACCAACTGAGCCACCCAGGTGTCCCTAACAGTAACTTTTTGAGAGAGATACATGCAACAAAAGAAGTATTGGACTAAGGGGAAGACTGAATTCCCTAAAAACATCAATAGCCATTTTCATTATTAAACTTTCAACAACCAAATTTTGGGTGTGTCCTCCCCTGATAATCTTGCTGTGGGTTGGATTTGCCTTTGAGTAGTCTGAGAAAAATCTCATACCTTGAACAGTCACACTGTAACAATCATAAACTTCACTTATGCCTGAGTTGGCCTTGGTGGTCCAAGTCTTCCAAGAGGATATGCCTGTTAAACCTGATGTACAGTTTCTCAAAAGTTGTAGTAAGATTGAATAGAGGTACCTGTGATTCTAGACCCAGCACTGTCCAGTAGAGATGTAGCACAAGCTACAAATGCAAGCCACACATATCATTTTATTTATATATGTATATATATACACATATATATAACTATAAAAAAGCAAAAAGAAATAAGTAAAATTAATTTTACTAATACATTTTAAGCAACTCATTATATTCGAAATTATATTATTTTAGCATGAAATCCACACATGAGTATCCTGTTTGGAGGACTTCATCCTTGAAATCCAGTGTGAATTTTTTTTTTTTTTAAAGATTTTATTTATTTGTCAGAGAGAGAGAGGGAGAGAGAGCAAGCACAGGCAGACAGAATGGCAGGCAGAGGCAGAGGAAGAAGCAGGCTCCCTGATGAGCAAGGAGCCCGATGCGGGACTCGATCCCAGGACGCTGGGATCATGACCTGAGCCGAAGGCAGCTGTTAACCAACTGAGCCACCCAGGCGTCCCCCAGTGTGAATTTTAAAGTTAACAGCACATCCGAGTCATCCTGGCCGTGTCAAGTGTTCAATACTGACATCAGGCTAGTGGCTACCGTACTAACTGCACAGGTCAGTACCCCTGTAGGTGCTCTGTATTAATTTGATCTAAAATAGGATCTGTGTTTGTGTCTTGTGTGGGCACAGTTGCTTGGGCTAGAGTATATATTTATGGTGATACATAAAGCTAGTTGTGAATTTGGTTCCTTTCCTACTATTGTAAACTTAAATGTAACATGATCTAAACCAGTGTTTCTCAACTAGGGGTAATTTTGTTCCCTGTGGGACATCTGTTTGCGGACGATTGGAGTGGGATGGAAAGGGCACTATGGGGGGCATCTACTAGGTGGAGGCCACAGATACTGTCCTCCAGTGCACAGGCTCCTTCCCCCCAACTCCCCACAATAATGAGTCATCCAGTGCACATGTCAACAGTGCGGACATTGAAAAACCTTCTTAATCATTCTCTCTGTCCTGGGTGAAAACTAAGTAAATAGCAAAGTATAAACCATGTCTTTGTGCTGAACTTCGGCTGTTCAGATCATGGAACTTCCTTTTATCCCCTTCGTCTTGGTATGGGATAAAATGTGTTTTTTTCTAAATCTCTACTTAACAATTATTTATATTCTCTTTGTTAAAATAACTAGCGTGTTGTTTGTTGCCTTACCGGTCCTTGATTGACCAAATTATTTTATGTCAAATAGTTGTCCCTTTGCTTATTTAAACAGGAAACTAGAGATTTTTCAAGATAAGAATGTTCATTTTTAAGCATTTAATGCAAGCATATTGTTAAAACTAAATTGGAATAAGGGTATATATGATCTTTTTCAGACACACCTGTGCTCTTATCACTACTTTTGCAAAGATCAGAAGCAATAATGTTTCTTCTTTTTCTTCTTTTTAAGTAGGCTCCATGGCTAGTGTGGAGCACATGTAGGGCCTGAATTCAAGACCTAGAGGTCAAGACCTGGACTGAGATCAAAAGTCAGACACTCCACGGACTGGGCCACCTAGGCGCCCCTCTTCTTATTACTGAGTGTAAGAAGCAAATGAGCTGTGCAGTACTATTACTTTAAATCTGCCCCATTATCCAGGCCTACAGTGGCCTTACTAACTACCCCAGTAGAGACAACCAGCTCGCCAAAAGAGAGGTGTGTTTTTTTCTTGATTACATACAAAAGACAATTCTGTCCTGAGTGCTAACCTCTGATTCTTTTGAAGGTCTTTTTGTTCTGTTTTGTTTTTGTCTTTTGAGGAGCAGGGAGGGGCAGAGGGAGAGGAGAGAGTCTAAGCAGACTCCACACTGAGACGTGGAGCCCGACCTGGGACGCGATCCCACAACCCCAAGATCACAACCTGAACCAAAACCAGGAGTCAGACACTCAGCTGACTGAGCCACACAGGCGCCCCATTTTAAATGTTGTTTTTTTTTTTAGTCAATGAATTAAGATAACACTTGAAATTTTTATAATATTCCCATAGAGTTTTGGGTCTTGGACAGATGTTTAGAACCAGCATATAAAATCTGCTAAATGATGATGACTTTCTATTCCTCCAAAACCGGTCTGTTGAAGAAGGCACTTTGCACTCAGTCCTGCTTCGGGTGTCAAATTAATGCACAAGATCTTACCTTAGAACATCTTTATTATTTTAAGGCTGTCCTTTGTAAAACAAAAAAACAAAACAAAAAACTTCCGGTTTCTCAGTGTTTATAAACACCCACAAAACCTATCTTTTATAGAACACTAATATATTAGAACAGTCAAATGTCCTGCTCTTACTATTAGATCGCCTTAAAATCAATCAACAAACCAAGTACTGTGAGATAATGAAGAAATACCAGCCACAGTCCCTTGCCTTCTAGGAGTTTATTATCTAGGAGAGAAGGAAGGTGGGATCCAGGGAACATAGTGCCATCAGATGTTCCCTGAGAAAAAGAGTCCCATGAATAAAAAAGTTCAGGAAACATTGATGTCGTATCCCCCCTTTTAAAACAAAAATTGCGACAAAATATACATAACATTAAATTTGCTGTTTTAACCATGTTAAAGTATATGATTCAGTATTAACTGCATTCACACTGTCGTGTGACCATCACTACCATCCACCTCCAGAACTCTTGGGTTTGCAAAACTGGAACTCTGTCTTCATTAAGCAATAACTCCATTCCCTTTTCCTCCAGCCATGGCAACACCATGTACAGTCTGTCT